TGCTGATGATGATGATGATGTTGATGATGATGATGATAATGATGATGATGATGATGATGATGATGATGACGATGATGAGGATGAGGAGAAGGAGGAGAAGGAGGGGGGGGGGACAGGGACCGCTCGAGCAAGTCCTGTTCGCAGTTGCGGCGCGGGGCGGTCGATCCGCGTGGGGTGGCCGCGGAGGGAGACCGAAACGGGACGATGAAGGGGCCCAAGGACACACATACATACATTCACACACATCCCAGGACTCCCCATATTTTTCAATATTTTCAGGATTTGCGTCTTCCCCCCCACTTCCAGTATTTTCGCATATTTTCCTGGGAGTCGACGATTCATTGTGCCTGTGTTTTTTTTTTCCTCCTGAGGCGAGGCGCTCAGGCTCTTTTAGCAGAACACCCTTTGGTGAAAACGACCTGGGGCCAGGCCCAGCGCAGAAGTTGCGGCCGCAGCCCACACGCGCCTGCAAGCATGCAGAGGCCTCATCGACCCACGATCCTGGAACCTCGATCCTCAGAAGGAGCTGGCGGCCCTCCTGGTGGTGACCCCCCTCACCACTGCCCGAGTGTTGCTTGCCACCGAAGTCTTGCCGCGAGGAGCCTTGACGAAACAGTGACGCCGCTCTTGGGCCCCAACCGCGCCGAGGCCTGCGAGGAGCGCACGCGGAGAAGCTCACGGAAAAACCCGAGGAACCTCGGGGAACGTGCGCCGGCAGGGCGTCGACGACGCTTCTGACAAGAAAGAGGCCCGTGCACCATGACGAGGCCTGATCATGGCCATCCTGGGCCCTGGCATGGTGTGCGCGCGCTCCTGGCCTCGACTGGCAGACCTGTGCGCCACCCAGGGGCCCAGGATGCCCTTGTCCACGCATGGTGTTGCACAGGTGCTTTCTGACGAACCCTCGCCTGCAACCAACATCCTGGCACCGAGGGCTTGACATCATGAGCGAAGCAACCCTCTGGCCCCAGCCGAGCCCAGACGCACAAGGGGTGCCCGAGTAAAAGCCTGGGTGAAGACATGGTGAACCCCGAACCCCTTCCGAAACTAACGAAATTCGCCCCTCGCCAGCGTTGTGTTCGTGCCACGCATCTCCGGACTTGCGCCAGCAAGGCGGTGAACACTCTTCGCTTTGCCCATCGCAGGCCTGTCTGTGTGGCGCTCTCAGTTTGCCTTACGACCTTCTCGTCCGCACCAAGTTGGCATGGGTGTTCGGCCGCTACTCTATTCTTTACAACCGTAAGACCCACCCAAAATTCAATTTGCATGAAATTGCAAAACTCACCAAACATGCAAAGCACGGGTTCTCCAACCCATCAAACAAGTAAATGCCGTCTTCAGGGCGTGGCCGGCGAGAATGCTGGCGTCAGCCTTCAAGGGGCCACGAAACCTGCCCCAAACTCGTCCTAAAGAAGAGGGTCGGTTAGTGGACGCCTGCCCGCCCGAAGCACTAAGAGCCACAACAACACACTACGATATGGCACAACACGCTCCAGAACTAGCGGTTCTTGCACGCGCAGTCGGCTGGCTTCGCGCAGTCGGCGAGCTTCCCGCCGCGTGCAGCCAACGAAGGCCCTCCGAGCGGCGAGCAAGACGGGCCGGACCCTGGCACTGGCGACAGGCGCCCCGCTGACGTCTATCTTTTCTACTGGCGCAATGGGGTGCCAACGGCCGAGGACTTCGCCGCCACTTCTGGGCTGCGCGCTGACCTCTTCGCCGCTTCTGGTGCGGCTTTTAGCGCGGCCGCGGAACGAGATGAGGAGTTCAAGCGGCAACACACGGACCCCGAACGCCAGTACGCGGAGCAGGACGGTCCCGAGAAAAGGGGAAGTGGGGGGCGCAAGACGACGCTGGTGGCGACTCACACGGGGTCGGCCGCGGCCGCCGCCGTGGCCGCTGCGAGGCGCGCAGCAGCCACTCCCGGAGATGCCTGCAGCCGCCGCAGCGCCGCCCACTCTCTCTCTCTCTCTCTTTCTCTCTCTCTCTCTCTCTCTCTCTCTCTCTCTTTCTCCCAACGAAGGGGGACTGGAATCGCTGGGCGTGGAGGGAGGAGGAGGAGGAGGAGGAGGAGGAGGAGGAGGAGGAAGGAGGAGGAGGAGGAGGAGGAGGAGGAGGAGGAGGAGGAGGAGGGAGGAGGAGGAGGAGGAGGAGGAGGAGGAGGAGGAGGAGGAGAGGAGGAGGAGGAGGAGGAGGAGGAGGAGGAGGAGGAGGAGGAGGAGGGGGAGGAGGAGGAGGAGGAGGAGGAGGAGGAGGAGGAGGACGAGGAGGAAGAGGAGGAGGAGGAGGAGGAGGAGTCCACGTACTCAGGGGGGTGCGTCGTGCAGCTACACTATGACTGATTAAATTGAGAAGAGGCGCTATGGCGGCCACCAGCCTGGGCCTGGACGCCGCCTCGGCCTCGATATGGAAGGTTCGTTGACTGAAGAGAGCGCAGGTTCCGAATTGCCTGGGGCCTCGAGACCGTACGCTCCTGGTGAGCCTGGCACGCGAGCAATGCAGAGCGCCTGGCCTGAAGAGTAATGCTATACTGACCGAACAGATGAGGCTGAGTGGCGAGCTCAGCTCTCAGTTTATGGAAGATATGGGAACTAACTGCCGTGAGCTCGTGCGCACGTTCACGACTGATCTCAGCAAGATCGTACTCCTCTGGAGAGCCAAGACCGAGGCGGACTATGGGGTCAGAAGGGAGGTACACACGACCAGGAAGAGCTAAGAGGTGAACAAGACGCGGGCCAACGATATAATGTGATATTGCGTCAGGACATTGCTCGCAGCCAAATCTGCAGCTGAGGGGGGTCTACATATGAATTCTGTGGGACGTAATCCACGCTCCTGCAAGGGTTTTGAGGTGAGCCCACACACGCATGGGTGGTGACTTCTTCAGAACAAACTTTAGCGCCCCCCATCGACATTGCAACTCCTCCTCTCTCGGAACAGAGGCGGGCGGGAGCCACGATGAGAGGCGGCGATGGCACAGGAGGTGTAGCGAGTCAGGGAAAAGAAGAGCGGTGAGGGAGGAAAAAAGACGAGATTGGATGCCAGGAAGGCGCCGTCGATCCCTCCCCCTCTCCGCCTCCACCGCTAAGGCCGCCGCAACAGCTTCACGCAGGTGCCGTGGCTCGATGATGTGCGATTGCGGGCAGGGGCGCACTCGCGGGCGCCATTCTCCACTCCAGCTGCCAAGCTGCTGGGCAATGCTACCTGGAATGGTCCAGCACGGTGCAGCCCATCTACCCTTCGCCCATGCGACGAGTGTGCCTCGCTCGAGGATGGCCTCTTCGTGACGCCCAACCCACCGCTCCCACCAGCCCCTCGAAGTTCCCGTGACCATCCTCCAGCCTGCGGCGGCAGTGGCAATGAGCACTGAGTGAGGTGCTCCTGATTTCATCCACGTGCCCAGGGAAAACAACTCTGATCGCTTGAACGAGCTGGGGGGGGGGGGGGGGGGGATGCGCAGCATCTTGTGCAAGGCCCGCGTTTCTTTGCGCAGGATGTGAGGGGAGATAGGGGAAATTGAGCGATGTAGCTAATGACTGTGATACATCGCACATTATATAGCATGACGGAAGCTGCTGTTGGCGCTCTCCCCGCACCCAACTCCTTCGCCCGCGCCCGCCATTTTTGCCCAGCAGCTTCCCATTCGTCGTCTATCGAGGCTCCTGGGCCGAACAGGATGCCTAGATATCTGGTGTATGATTCTATGGGGAATGAGCTCTAAGGGGCAACATTGGCTTGCAAAAACGTGCGAATCCCTTCAATGAGGTCTGCATTGAGGCAGGGCCACAGCGGCGCCAGGCAACACTTTTTGGGCTGGAGGAGAAGGCCAGCAAGAGCAGGAGCAGCCTCGAAGGGGGGAAGGAGGGAGGGGAGGTGTCGAATGTTGCCTAGCGCGGCTCCTACGTCGTCGGCACAAGCTCCAAGATCGTCTTCTGAGCCTCCAGCTGCCTCCAGAGACGAAACAAGAGCACGGACGAGGGGGCCCATTCCCAGCGCCCAGAGGGTCCCCGAGAGCGGGCAGCCTTGAGGGACCCCAGAGGAGAGAGTGGAAAGTTCTCGAACCTCAGAACCGACACGGAGGAAACCTACTGCATTGCACATCAGGGCCCTGCTAGCGCACAAGTATAGCTCTGGGGGCAGGACTCTGGAGAACTTTCTTCAGCCAGATTTGAGTCATGCCGGGGAATGCTGCCTTCGCATCAAAGCTGGCAGAAACTGGTATTCTTATATCCGCATCTTCCCCTAAGCTTGCAATGCGGCAAAGTGTGTCCAATCGCACGATGTGTCGAGCAAAATCGCGGCCATTGACGAATCCTTGCTGCGCAGTGTGGGCATGGCGCTCTGCTACACGTTTGAGTCGCAAATTAATCGAGGTGGCCATAGCTTTAGCATCGCAATTTTTTCAGACTGAGTGGCCTGAGCTGGCCAGGCTGGCGCGTGCAATCAACTGGATCTAATTCGTCTTCGCCCTTCGGAATGAAGGCGAAAATGCTGTGGTTGAGCGTAGGAGGGGGAGGGGCACCGCTAAAGAGAGACAAGAGCAGAGAGTGGAGGACGGTAGCAAGAGCAGGGTGAGTGAGCCAGGCTTTGTAGGGGAGACGATCGGGGCCTGGGGAGGAGGACTTACCCCGCATAAGGGCCCTCTGGAGGTCCTCGAGGTCAGGAGGGGGGAGCTCGTGAGGCTCACGGGAGGGGAGGTGCCGCTCTATGAAGGCCTCTTCCGCTGGGGTGTCCTCTACTCTCTCCTTAAAGACTGGCTCCCAGTGCTCCCGAATGGCCTCAGAGATATTCTGTGCACCTCTCACGATATGAGTGTGGGCGCCGTGGCCCTCTTGCGCATGCTGGATACCCGGGAGAACGAGCCTACGGCCCTGGGGCTTCCAAAGAAGAGCTCGGCGAAACATGATCTCCTTAATTCTCCCCCCGCCCAAGTGCCTCCCCACTCCCTCCGACGAAGCGCGCTGCAGGGCCCGCTCCGCGCGTGCCTCATTGCATGCGATCACCTCGGTCTCGAAGGCCGCTGCTGGCCCGTGGCGGCGTTGGCTACCAGCCGGCCAGCAAGCCGCCGATCCTGGCGCCAGACCGCCCGCGCGACAGCCCGCTGCGCCATGGCCTGTGCGTCCAAGCTGTCGTCGGTGTTGTCCCCGATCGACGTCTGGAGCAGAATGTTGCGCGTCGTCTCGGCTGCCAGCACCATCTGCCGCTTGGCGCACTCCCACTGCTCAGAGGCCGTCATGCTGTCAAGCTCGCAGGCGGCACGGAGGATCTCGATCTGCTTCTGGTAGGCGGACGTCTCGAAAAGGAACTTCGGTATGGCCTGCTCAGCCTTGGGCGCCTCCGAGCGCGGCTCCAGCTTGAGCTCCACCATCGCATGGTCGCTGAGCTTCCGCAAGGAAAACACCTGCGCATCGTATCGGATGTTCACAACAATCTTGTTCTCGCGGATGAAGTGTGTGTGTGTGTGTGTGTGTGTGTGTGTGTGTGTGTGTGTGTGTGTGTGCGTGTGTGTGTGTGTGTGTGTGTGTGTGGGTGGGTGGGTGGGGTGGGGGGTGGGTTGGGTGGGGTGGGGTGGGGTGGGGGGTGGGGTGGGCGGGGGTGGGGTGGGGTGGGGGTGTGTGTGTGTGTGGGGGGGGGGGGGGGGGGGTGGGGGGCGGAGCGACGTGAAAACCCGATCGATGTACGTCATCTGGTTCGTGTGCATGTCGTAATGTGCGGGGGCAGGCGTTGTGATTTCCGTCATCTTCGAGGAGCTTTTGATCAGCTGCCTCCAGAATGGTTCTCCATGATTGGCGCGCCCTGCTGTCGACCGATGTGCTTGTCGAGCTCGTGGGCGAAGCACGCTCTCGTTCGGATTGTCACTGTAATTGAGGCCCCCGAGTGCCACAAAGAGCCGATGTTGTGGGTCAGCATGCGCCCAATCACTGTGCTCTTGCCAGCAGTCACGAACTTTCTGTCGATGTGTAGCGTCCATCTCATAGTTGTGAATGTTGCAGATGCGGACCTCCGTCTTCATCCTGATGTTTTGGATAACAATCATTAGAACTCTGCCTTGCGCCACCACTCGAGGAACAATTCGCGGGATCGCGTTATCATCCAGTCCCGTTTCGTCAACGCACGGGGCGAGGATTGCTACTCCACCAGCTCCCATCACTTCCATGCCGCTGAAGTAGACCTTGTAGTAGTTGTATGCAGTACGATTGATCAAATTCTGCAATGTAGTCTTGTTCCCGTGGTCTTCTTGCAATGCGATGATCGACTGTTGCTTCATCAATTCACTCAATTTAGCCATCTTCTTATTTCTCTTGGAACGATCCCAGCACAACAACCCACGCGCATTCCAGGACACGATCCTGCACGGCGCCGAGCCCCCTGGTCGCAACCAGGGGGTCCAGCGAAGGCTAGGAAGAGTACCGACTGGCAGTGTCCACCGCGCGGAAGAGCTGCTGGAAGGAGACCGTGGTCGCGTCCGTGTCCAGCTTGAGCTTGGTGCGCGCCTCTGGGTTCCAGTTGACCTGGGACGGGTCCTCCATGCCCTTGGCGACAACCTCCGCCACGGGCGTCGTGCCGCAGTGTGCCACGCCGAGGTGCCGCTGCATCCACCAATCCCCGACCATGGCGGCCTGGCAGAGGCCCATGAGCTTCTTCGTCTGGATCTCCGCTCGCACCACCTTCGGGCTCTTGTATGGATTGACATAGAGCCGCTCCACCTGCCCGTCCGTGGCCTGCACCGTGAAGTCGCGCCACCTGCCGCGCGGGAGCTTGAGGTGCTTCGCCATCGCCAGCGCCCTGGCCTTGCCCGTCGCGCCGCCTGGGAGGTATATGTGGAGCCTCTTGGCGGGCTCGCGCTCGTTGATGTCCAGGTGCGCCACCTCCGCGCCAGCAGCCTTGAGCCACGCGCCAATCGCCGCCAGGAGGGCCTCGGGGGTGACCACCTTGCTGCAGTTGGCCACGAAGAGCTGGGGGTCAGGCTGTCGGTCCCAGGCGGTAATCCGCAGCATGTCGGGGTGGTCGCTCTGGCCCAACTCGTCCACTTGCGCCAGCGTGGCCTGCATTGTGCGGATCTGGTTGCGCATCGTAGCATTGTCCTCCTCCAGCTTGGTCGTTGATTGTTGTAGCGAAGCGAGCTGAGCCTGGTGCCTGCCGATGCGCTCCACGTGCGGTTTGAGCTTGTTGTCAATCTCGTGTGATAGGCTGTCGAAGGAGCTGGAGACGGTGGACTGGAGCGCGGCTGTCGCTGCGTCCATCTGCTGCTTGAGCTGTGCTTTGATGCGTTCTTCTGCGGCTGCGAGTCCCGCCTGCAGTTGTCCACCGTCAGCTCCCACTCTTGCTACTCGCCACGGGTCTTGCACCTGAAGCTGATCGACTCCAGACGCGCTGCTGCCGCTGGCAGTGGCGGCACTCCTGCGCTCGCCCGAGCGGCTGCGCTCGGCAGAGGCGCGGGCAGCAGCTTCGACCCCCATGGCTGCAGAAGTGTCAGGCTAGAAAGCCACCGCAGGCACTGCAGGGACTGTATTGTAACAAACCTTGCTCCTCCAGGAGCTCACTCGGTGAAAAATCTTGGAGACAGCCGCGGGCTAGCGGTATCCTTGCAGGCACGGAGGCGCGGAGCCCCCTCAGTGCAAGCATCTTCAGCCAAAATGGCTACGGAAAGGAGGAGGATGAGGCGAAGGAGGAGGAGGAGGAGGAGGAGGAGGAGGAGGAGGAGGAGGAGGAGGAGGAGGAGGAGGAGGAGGAGGAGGAGGAGGAAGTCCCCTCTCCCATGGACATTGCTGCCGTCGCTGTCCTGGGCCGCCCCCGCCAGCAGCTGCCGCGCTGCCCCCGGCGCACCTCCCGCGCTCGCCGCCGCCATCGCCCAATCGGCGCCTCCTTGTCCACCCCTGCCCCGATGACCGCTCCCGCTTCCGCTTCCCGCCCGTTGCCTGCTCCTTTGCCTGCTTGCTCTCCCTCTTCCCCTCTCCTTTCCCTCCTTTCCTTTGCTCCTACTCCTCTGGGGGCGGTGGCTAAGACGCATGGCGCCTGCCAGGAGGCTGCTGCGCCGCAAGGGTCGGCCGAGCCAGGCCGCTCGGTAGCCGTCCACGCGGGGATGGGGGCACATGCCCCTTCGGCCCCCCTTCCTCCTCTCCTCTCCAACCTCCTCCGGGTAACGCCCGACGGGGCTCGGCGGTTCACGGCCCGTGGAGGCCGATGCGCCCAGCATCCGCCGATTGGGCTTTCCACGCGAGTTGTCGGCCCCTGACGGACAGTCTCAGAAGCCAGCCTGTTCAGGTTCGAGGCGACTCTGTGGCGCGGGTCGGCGACGCCTCGGGATGATACTGCTGGCCACGGCCCCCCCTCTGCAGCCCTGGCAGGAGGCTGGCTAGTTCGCCCGTGCTCGCTGACCCGCGCACGCGGTGTGGCATTCAGCCGACGTGCGTCGAGATCTGGTGGTCGCGTGCTCTCACCTCCCCCATGTTCTCAACAAGCGTTGAGGGCTTGAACACTTCAGGGCGGGAGCGCGGCAAGCGGCCTTCAGCCGCAGGGGCCGCGCGGGGTGAGAGGGCGGCCCCGTTTCTGTTTGCCGGGCTCGGGCGGGAGCCAGCGCACACGGTCTGGCCGCCGACGTCTGCGAATCAAGCAAACCTCGGGGACAACGTGTGCCAGGCACTCCAGCACCCGCTGTGCCATCAAGTAAGCTCGGAGCACAGTCTGGGCATACAGGGAATAAGCCTCGCGAGCGACCTCTGTGGGGATGACCTCTATAGGGATCTCGAGCACCCGCCGTGCCACCTTGCCAAACTAACAGGGAGCACATTCTGGGTAGATGCGGAGCGCTCCCCCCTCCACGGCTCTCCCAGCAACACGTTCGGCGGAATGACTTATAACACACTTTATATGGGTTATTCGTCAGACTTCTCCTTCTTACCCTCCAGCCTCTAGGGAGGGGTGGTAGGATCCTCCTCTTTCCATCGTCTCGATTCGCCGCAATGTGATGAGAAACCAACATGATGTACTATTCGGCGCTGGACAGTGCACGGCAAGCGAAGACAGCCAGCCTGTATCTTCCTTCCCCGCCATGAGGTTCTTCATCATCTTTCGCATGTGCGGCGTGATGATGCTGGTGACGATCGCGGGGGAGCTGACGAGCCTGTCGGAGAACTTCACCTGGCAGTGGCGGGCAATATGGTGGAACGATGGATGAACGACGTAACCCGCCGGCCCAAGAGGCCAAAAGCGTGCCAAGATCTCCGGTTCATAGGTTAACAGTATTTCTGGTTCGTGCGCGCGAGGCCTCCCCTGGGGACCCCTGCACGAAGAGTGCCCTGGCCGATGCCCAAGCGATGCCCGGCTGACTCCCCCAGGGCGCTCCAGGAGCGCGCCAAGAGGGCGCCGGGACGCCCCCTACACGTCCCAAGAGGCCCCGAGTCGCCGAAAGATCGTTCCAAGACGCTCAAGATGGTCTCCAGATGGCCCCAGAGGCCGCGAACATGATCGACCCACGAACCCGGAAAGGAATATAGAAATGTATCGCATGGCAACGTTTTCAAAGACACCTGATTGGGTTACGGGCAAATGCAATGCTGAGTGTATCGATCTTGATGTACCCTGCCGAAGGCTGTGCTGTGCTGCACCGTGCTGAATTGCGATGTGCCATGCCGCGATTGTGCTCTATAGCGTTGTGGATCGAGTCCTCCTTTGCATCCGAGTCCTGACCGAACTGATCTGGATCTTAAGCTCGAGCTGCCTGAACACATAGTAGCTGCCCCAGAGCTCATTGACAGGGGGACATGCCAGGAGGACGCGCCGCGAAACGTCCCAAGGGACGCGCCAGGCGACGTGCCAGGGGACGTGCCATGGGGTCGCACCGCGGGACGTGCTAAGGGGACGCGCTACGGAACGTGCCAATGGATGTGCCACGGGATGTGCCAGAGGACGCGCCACGCGACGTGCCAAGGGACTCGCCAAGGGACGCCTCACGGAACGTGCCAAGGACGTGCCAAATTGTAATGCTGAATCTATCGATCTTGATGTACCGTGCCGGAGTCTGTGCTGTGCTGCGCCGTGCTGAATTGCGATGTGCCATGCCGCGATTGTGCTCTATAGCGTTGTGGATCGAGTCCTCCTTTGCATCCGAGTCCTGACCGAACTGATCTGGATCTTAAGCTCGAGCTGCCTGAACACATAGTAGCTGCCCCAGAGCTAATTGACAAAGGGACATGCCAGGAGGACGCGCCGCGAAACGTCCCAAGGGACGCGCCAAGCGACGTGCCAGGGGACGTGCCATGGGGACGCACCGCGGGACGTGCCAAGGGGACGCGCTACTGAACGTGCTGGGGACAAGCGTTTCGCTCGAGACATCCTGTCAAAATCCTCATGCTAGACATCCGCCTGAGCGACCTGGACATGTGAAAACAAGCGTTTCGC